ATTTTTGTAACAGAAATATCCTCGTGTCTCATCATCAGCTTAAATACAAACTGTTTCCAGACAAATGTGCAGCGTCTGAACAAACAGGTCTGCAAAGATGTGTGACGTCAGCTCAGTAATGTTCTTCCACTTTAATGTACAGCCCATATTTCTGAAGTACATACAACTCTCTGCTCTGTCGTCTTTATGTCCAAGTATGACAACATAACATGATTAAGACGCATTAAGCATATTGTGGCCTGATTTGTACTTTAAGACTTTAATTGTAGTGTTAAGATCATGTTGTCAGGCAATGAATTCAAAAAGTAATTGCTGGTACTTCCGCTTGATCCATTTCCGGGTCGTGGGGTCAGAAGTCTGAGCACAGATCCCTGACCGTCCTCTCCACACACACTTCCTACAGCTCTGCATTCTTAGAGAACCTGTTTCTCTGGCCTGACACTGGCTCTTCTGGAGGTGGAGAAACAGCGGCTCTACTCCGAGCTCCTCCCATGGGACTGAGCTCCTCTAGGGGGCAAAAGTTCATATCCCTGACCTTTCAGTCATTCCCCGCGGCTCCAGGCCAGAGGGGAGGGCGGGACGTAGACAGTGAATTGTTAGCTTTGTTCTTGATCTATGAGGTAAATGTATAATTGAATGGATGCGTGGTCAGTGAGCAGTGGGTTTGACAGCACCACATGTGTCTGACAGCTCAGTAATAAGAGAGTGGAGCTGGTGATGGTAAAGAAACGCTTCAGAAACTCTCACAGATGCATTCCTCGTGGTTTTGAGAGCGAGGAATGTTCTCAACAGCACTTCATCTACAGCGACATGGCCCACATTCCTGGAGAGATTCTCTGGGATTCTTGTCATTTTTGTGTAATGCGATAACACTAACAACATGAGGGGGCAGTTAAAGCTGGGGTACCTAACTTGCAAACCAGTCAAATAATGACTAGTACAGATCTTTTTAAAAATCATGGCACAGATGATTCTAAAAAGATTCTTCATCTTCAGCATGTGTTGTGTTTCCTTTGACAGACTTTTTCTGTTTGGAAAAGCTCAATGTATTATTTATTTACATATTTTTCATTTGTAGGTCGGACATCGGTCTCTTATTTCTGCTGCGGTTGACACAGAAACTGGGCTTCGACTTTCAAAAGTGTTCAGCACTTGGCCCACTATTACTCAACATTGTTTCACTTCAAACTTTGAAAAAAATGTACAAAGCAGAGACCAGTGAACTGCAACAAAACTCAGGCAGATGCTTTTGAAACACAAATGCACATTTATGTGTTTGGTTTGGTGCCAAAGAACCAAAATCCTTTCGTAAGATGGAAATACATGGATTAACATGAGATCAAAGAACCTTTAGTCGTCCCACAGTGGGCACTATTTGATCAATTATATTTTGCTGGATTTATGCCTTGTCCACAGTGACGTAAAACCATATTGTGAACAGACAAATCCTATGCACCTGAGGGAAGTGTTGTGTACATACTCGGCCTGAAGGTGGCGCTGTGAAGCCAACAGCTTGATCTCAGCCTGTGAAGAGAAGACACTTTTTCTTAAGATTTGACTGGATGTGTTTTATTATGTGGATAGGGTATTGCTGCTGAAGCCGGCCTCCAGCGGGGAACCTCAGTGTTACTGCAGACTAAACTCACCGGGACGACCCTGGAAACGTTCCCATCAACCTCAGTGTGAACGAAAACGGCTCGTCCTCAGCGTTCATAGAACCTTAGCTTTCTCAATGGTCGCCGTATTGTGGGAATTTTATTGTCCTTTGTCATCCTCAACTTTTTCCTTTGAAAATCCATTCGTTTTCTATAAATCCACACGTTTGTTCAACAAACTCCATTCGCTCTAATCTGCGCGTGCATTTTGGTCGTTGTCATCTTCTTTATACACTTACTGCAGTTTTTTAAGTGAATGAGTGACAAGCGGACCGTATGTTGTGCAAAACGGTCACGAGGTGGCTCCAAAACAAACACGTATAACACCAGCAACTTGATCAAACATCTGGAATCTCATCCCCAACACGGAGCTAGCACCGGAGCACAAAAAGAACTCTACGACATATGTAGCCTTTGTGTGAGTGGAATATGTCAGTGGCTTTTATTGATGACTGTTAAAACGATTGCTAAAATGTTTCATTGTTGACATAAAACATTTAAAATTTCAGTTTCCCAGGGATAACACAATGCAGTACTTGTATCGGTACTCGATATCGGTACTCAAATGAAAGTTCTTGTACTCATATCGGTTTTGAAAAAAGTGGTATCGGTGCATGCCTAGTCAGAACGTTCTCATTGGCCTCGGCTGTAGAAGTACCACAAACAACGCACCTACTGCACCAGATGTGGAGGACCAAATGCATCACTTCCACTAACACTGCAGGCTCCATGGTGAGACCGTACGTGCACAGCCTTTGATTTGAAAGCAGACATCTTGGCTCGCCGCTGGGGCTTGGGGTTGACTGTGGCTGTTATATTGATGTCACATGTGGCAGGTGTGGTTTCCTTGCTCTGGTTATGAGCTGCAGCATGGGTCAAATGCACTGGACACATTTCTGTATGGGAACAATACAGTACAATGTCACTGAAGGTGTTTGAAATGCTGTGTCGACCTGGGACAACAGTGGGAAAGGCCGGCGTGTTGTTTGGACCTGTGTCGGGGAAGACAAGCGCACGGCCAAATGAAAGGTTTGCTCTTGTTACGCTGTCATCATGAACAATACTGCCCCTCGAGTGACTTTTGTGTATTTTTATAACCTTCTTCGAGCCGCATGTAAACAACAATATGACGTTGATTGTTGCCTCAATTTCAATCAAATCGAGGCAATTTTTTTACATTTTTTACATGATATATTTTCAAAAAGAACTGCTCAGCCGCTGCAGGGCCTTTCATATCGCTACTGTGAAGATCTGAACTGCATATTTTATTGTGTTTATTTTGTTTTTTTTGTCTTTTGTCTTGCCTGTTTACTGCATCCATCCCATCTGCAAGCTTGTGTATTTTGTTTTACTATTGCCTGTTAAGTGGATTTTTATCATTGTGTTATGTTTTGTGTGTACATATTGTGAGTGTGTGTCTGTGTTGTCTGAAATGAAAAAAATGAAAAGGTCTTAACTGCAGTCCATATATGAACATTATACACTTTTGTTGATTTTGAGTGGTCCTATTGAATATATCAATCTAATCCTGTAGAAAGGTCGTTACATAACAGGGCCCTTTGACATAAAGACAGAGCAATAGTAATTAGAATAGAATCGATCTTTATTGTCTGTTCTAAATTAGCAGAGATTTGTCTTACAACACGGCACAATTAAAATCATTGTTGTTTCTTAATTACAAATCTACAGTTTTAAATTAGGGGAAATCCTAGTTCCTCCTTTGAGTTTTACAATGAGCAAGAAGAGAGAGTGTGTGTGTGTGTGTGTGTGTGTGTGTGTGCGTGGGTGCGTGTGTGTGTGTGTGCGTGGGTGGGTGTGTGTGTGTGTGCGCGTGTGTGTGTGCGTGTGTGTGTGTGTGCGTGCGTGCATGGGTGTGTGTGTGTGTGCGTGTGTGTGCGTGCTGTGCGGTGCTGTACCCTGTGTGTGTGTGTGCGTGCTGTGCGGTGCTGTGCCCTGTGTGTGTGTGTGTGTGTTGTACCCTGTCTCTCTGTGTGTAAGGAAGAAAAGACACGAGGGTTTGGGGGCGAAAAACACATTTTTGCTCAGCGGGAATGACCCTCAGTAACTGCACACATTTTCAAAGGACAGATACATTTGTCAAAAGATAAGAATGAAACAAAAACTAATGAAAGGAACAAGCAGAGACTGGATCTACAGTTTGAGTTCCTTGGTATTTCAAACATCTGTCCACTGTCACTTTACTTTTTCCCATGTTTTAGTATACATTTGGAGATTTCATTTTAGTATATTATTGTGCTGTGTGCTGCTCATTCCTTCTGTTCTGTAACGGGTGATGCAACACTGACATTTCCCCCCTGTGGGACGGATAAAGGATCTCATTTATCTTAATCGTAACTATAGACGCTACATTCTGAACAATCAGCAGTGAGTTCCAGGAAATAATCCCAAAGATCATATCCGAACAGAATCTTAACACAACTGGAATCAACTCAAAAACACATCTGGACATCTGTTTTCCATTAAGGAGAATGTTGTAACTTAAAAAAAAAAATTGAAACGGTCTGCTTTGTGAATGTGTCCTTTACATTGTGTTTGAGCAGAATCAATTTTGCTAAACTTTTTTTTTATACATCAACTAAAACTAGACCAACGGTACTGAGAAGTCAGAGTGAAAGAGAGGAGGAGGGGTCCTGCACGAGCCTGGGTGTAGCCGCAGCGGTCACCTCTGTAACCTCCTCCAGATGTGGTGTCTGGGGCTCCATGATGTCACTGCACTGGACTGTGGATGTTTACGTTGTGTTGTGTTTATTTCATATTTCATTTATTTTGTTGAGTTTATAAATATGGAAACGTAAGAAGAGTCCGAAATTATGAGTTTTAACCACGTCCCAACAACGTTTCTCATCAAAAAACAGACAAAAAACAGACAAAATGGCCTAAAACCTGAGCAGAAATAAAGCATCATGGGAAATAAAAACCCAGGGAGTTAATAAATGAAAGATGAGTTTGCACCAGACTGAGTCCCAGAAGCAGGAAACTACGAGAACTCCCAAAGCAGTAATTTTGACTGCTCCCATTCAAATCAATTGAATTTCATAAAAATTAATACATAGAAATAAACTTCAAAAATTCACAGTTTTAAAAATCCAAAATGTACATGAGCAGTAACTACACTGCCAAATCTAAAAGCCGTCAAATAGACTGCTCTGGGAGTTCTAGTGTTAAGACAGAAAGAAACCGACAGAGCAGCTTTGTGACACAGACACATTTGGGGATGGATAAAAAATGTTTCAGAAGATAAAAAAGTCGAAGTTTGCTCTTTGTGACACAGTGAATAAAGTTGTTTGAGGTTGAAGCGTCTGACGCTGTTGTCTTCTCTCTCAGAAGACGCCGTCTCTGAACCTGCAGCAGTCGCTCGGGGACGAGCTGCAGGAGGCGCTGCCCCCGAACTGGACCTGCTACAGGTCTCCTCAGGGACACAAGTACTACGTCAACACCAGCAGCAACGGTAAGAGAGCTACCATCAGGTACTGGTGTTAAGGACTGTAGGTACTGAGTACTCTCAGAGAGTACTCTGATGTTAGGGACTGTAGGTACTGGGTACTCTCAGAGAGTACTCTGATGTTAGGGACTGTAGGTACTGAGTACTCTCAGAGAGTACTCTTATGTTAGGGACTGTAGGTACTGAGTACTCTCAGAGAGTACTCTGATGTTAGGGACTGTAGGTACTGTAGGTACTCTCAGAGAGTACAGTACTCTGATGTTAGGGACTGTAGGTACTGTAGGTACTCTCACAGAGTACTCTGATTTTAGGGACTGTAGGTACTGAGTACTCTCAGAGAGTACTCTGATGTTAGGGACTGTAGGTACTGTGGGTACTCTCAGAGAGTACTCTGATGTTAGGGACTGTAGGTACTGTAGGTACTCTCAGAGAGTACTCTGATGTTAGGGACTGTAGGTACTGAGTACTCTCAGAGAGTACTCTGATGTTAGGGACTGTAGGTACTGTAAGTACTCTCAGAGAGTACAGTACTCTAATGTTAGGGACTGTAGGTACTGTAGGTACTCTCAGAGAGTACTCTGATGTTAGGGACTGTAGGTACTGTAGGTACTCTCAGAGAGTACTCTGATGTTAGGGACTGTAGGTACTGAGTACTCTCAGAGAGTACTCTGATGTTAGGGACTGTAGGTACTCTCAGAGAGTACTCTGATGTTATGGACTATAGGTACTGAGTACTCTCAGAGAGTACTCTTATATCACTTTTACAGAATAAACACATCTGAGATTCACACCCAGTACAAACCCAGTCTGTGGTTCATTCAAATGTCTCCAGCATCGTCTCAGTCGTAACGGACTCTGAGGAGCAGGAGAGTCACGACTAAACACGAGGAGGCAGCATTTCAGATTTATGCTGCTAAAATCTGGAACAGTCTTCCTGAAAATGCCAGAAAGGCTTCTTCTCTGACAATGTTCATATCCAGGTTAAAAACAGGTCTGTTTACCTGTGCTACAGGGATTTTATCCTCATTCTTCTTAATGTACTGATTATTTACTTTACTTTGAGTTGCCTTGTGTAAGTAAGTATGTAATCTTTATTCATATAGCGTCTATCACAGACAGAGATGGGAGCGGGGTCACCCTACAGGAGGTGCAGACCTATGGTACATGTGTATTGTAGTAGTAGGGGAAACCGTAGCACCCAGAAGAAACCTATGCAGGCCCACAGGGAGAACATGCAAACTCCTGGAGGTGGAATCAAACCAGGACCTGTATGAACTTCACTGTACAGATAAAGTAGCCTCGCCATCGCAGCAGCAGAGCAGGCTCGTCTCTGCACTTCCTCTTATTGCAAAACTTTCATTCTCTAAAGATGCTCATTCTTGACGCGCTCTGTGCCAAAGTTCGTCCCCCCCCTTCTACCCCACCCCCCCACAGTGTTTGTTTCCCTCCGTTGCCGTGGTAACCGGTGTGCCCTCGCAATGTGGAGACTTCCGTCCTCTTTTTTTTGTTTTTAAGGCCGCAAACAGCCCTGGTCCAAAATAAGGCCTGATTTCGGTGCCTTTATATTTAGGAGCAGAATTGAGCAGATGGAGGATGTGGGTGTGCGGCTCTTCTTAAACAAATAACACTTTATTTAAATCATAAATTATACGCATTTCATGTTTTAGAAAGAAACAGAAATGATTTGGATAAACACGTATACTGTTTAGGTCAGGTAAGTGATCATTAGTGTGTATGTATTATGTTGATTCAACTCTCATTTGTTATTTATTAAGCACTTGTTAGTCCTTATGGTCTCTTTTCAACATCTAACTGACACTTTGGGTTTGGGTCAAGGTTATTAGCTGTTAATTAGTGAGGGCTAATATAATGTACAGTACTTGGCTCAGTTCTTGTCCGCTTTCCGAATCAGGGCCCTCTAAACCATATAAACCGGCTCTCAGTCCATGTTCACTGCAAAAAGTGATCAAAAAGTCACTACATTATTCTTCAATCGTGTGTTTTGTTTTTTCCAATACAAAAAAAAAACATTTGACAAATCAAGTGCACATCAAACCAGACAAAAACTGCATAATATCCATCCATCCATCCATTTTCTTCCGCTTTATCCGTTGCCGGGTCGCGGGGGCAGCAGTCTAAGCAGAGACGCCCAGACTTCCCTATCCACACACACTTCCTCCAGCTCGTCCGGGGGGACCCCAAGGCGTTCCCAGGCCAGCTGAGAGACATAGTCCCTCCAGCGTGTCCTAGGTCTTCCGCGGGGCCTCCTCCCGGTGGGACGTGCCCGGAACACCTCCCCAGGGAGGCGTCCAGGAGGCATCCGGAACAGATGCCCGAGCCACCTCAACTGGTTCCTCTCGACGTGGAGAAGCAGCGGCTCTACTCCGAGCTCCTCCCGTGTGACTGAGCTCCTCACCCTATCTCTAAGGGAGCGCCCAGCCACTCTGCGGAGGAAGCTCATTTCGACCGCTTGTATCCGCGATCTCGTTCTTTCGGTCATTACCCAAAGCTCATGACCATAGGTGAGGGAGGGAACGAAGATTGACCGGTAAATCGAGAGCTTTGCCTTTCGGCTCAGCTCCCTCTTTACCACAACGGTCCGATACAGCGACCGCATCACTGCGCACGCTGCACCGATCCGCCTGTCAATCTCACGCTCCATTCTTCCCTCACTCGTGAACAAGACCCCGAGATACTTGAACTCCTCCACTTGAGGAAGGACCTCTCCACCCACCTGAAGAGGGCAGGGCACCTTTTTCCGGTCGAGCACCATGGCCTCAGATTTGGAGGTGCTGTTTCTCATCCCAGCCGCTTCACACTCGGCTGCAAACCGTCCCAGTGAATGCTGCAGGTCCTGGTTCGTTGGAGCCAACAGGACAACATCGTCCGCAAACAGCAGAGATGAAATCCTGTGGTCCCCGAACCGGACCCCCTCCGACCCCTGGCTGCGCCTAGATATTCTGTCCATAAATACAGTGAACAGAACCGGTGACAAAGGGCAGCCCTGTCGGAGGCCAACATTCACCGGGAACAGGTCTGACTTACTGCCGGCAATGCGAACACAGCTCTGGCTCCGGTCATACAGGGACCGGATGGCCCTCAGCAGAGGACCCCGGACCCCGTACTCCCGGAGAACCCCCCAAAGGACACCCCGGGGAACACAGTCGAACGCCTTCTCCAAATCCACAAAGCACATGTGGACAGGTTGGGCGAACTCCCATGAACCCTCGAGTATCCGATGGAGAGTATAGAGCTGGTCCAGTGTTCCGCGACCGGGACGAAAACCACACTGCTCCTCCTGGATCCGAGATTCGACCATCGGCCGTAGCCTCCTCTCCAGTACCTTGGAGTAGACCTTACCGGGGAGGCTGAGGAGTGTGATCCCACGATAATTGGAACACACCCTCCGGTCCCCCTTCTTATAGAGAGGGACCACCACCCCGGTCTGCCACTCCATTGGCACCGCCCCCGATCGCCACGCGATGTTGCAGAGACGTGTCAGCCAAGACAGTCCTACAACATCCAGAGACTTTAGATAATCAGGGCGGATCTCATCCACACCCGGAGCCTTGCCACCATGGAGGCTACCAACCACCTTGGTGACCTCAGCCAGGGAGATGGATGTATCCGCCCCAGCATCCTCAGCCTCTGCCTCTGAAGAAGAAGAAGAAGAAGAAGAAACTTTATTTATATAGCACCTTTCACAGATAAAATCACAAAGTGCTTCACAGGGGCACAACAATAAAAGTTACAGAGCAATCTTAAAACAAATTAATTAAAACAATCACAGCCTTTTCAACTAAAAGCTCGTCCAAACAGCCATGTCTTCAGCTGTTTTTTAAAGGAATCGACAGTGTCGGTCACACGTAGCGACAGAGGAAGGGCATTCCACAGTTTAGGAGCAACAACTTCAAAGGACAGGTCACCTCTGGTTTTAAAGTGGGTCCTTGGGACAGCAAGGAGGTTCTGACCCAAAGACCTAAGGTTGCGACCGGAGGAGTAAGGGCACAGCAGGTCAGACACGTATTTGGGAGCCTGACCATTCAGCGCTCTAAAAGTCAATACTAAAATTGACTAAATACTAAATACTAAAACTCTGAGACAGAGGACGTGACGGGGGGATTGAGGAGAACCTCAAAGTATTCCTTCCACCGCCCGACAATATCCCCCGTTGAGGTCAGCAGCTCTCCACCCGCACCGTACATGGTGTTGGCAAAGAACTGCTTCCCCCTCCTGAGGCGCCGGACGGTTTGCCAGAATTTCTTTGAGGCCGACCAATAGTCATGCTCCATGGACTCTCCGAACTCCTCCCAGTCCCGGGTTTTTGCCTCTGCAACAGCCCGGGCTGCGGCACGCTTGGCCTGCCGGTACTGGACAGCTGCCTCAGGAGTCCCCCGAACCATCATGGCTCGATAGGACTCCTTCTTCAGCCTGACAGCTTCCCTTACTGCCGGTGTCCACCACCGGGTTCGGGGGTTGCCGCCGGGACCAGCACCAGAGACCTTGCGACCACAGCTACGGGCCGCCGCATCGGCGATTGAGGCAGAGAACATGGTCCACTCGGACTCCATGTCCCCCTCCTCCACCGGGACCTGGGAGAAACTCTCCCGGAGGTGTGAGTTGAAAGTCCGTCTGACAGGGGGCTCAGCGAGACGTTCCCAGCAGACCCTCACTATACGCTTGGGTCTGCCAGGTCTGACCGGCTTCTTCCCCTGCCAGCGGATCCAACTCACGACCAGGTGATGATCGGTTGACAGCTCCGCCCCTCTCTTTACCCGAGTGTCCGAGACACGCGGTCGAAGGTCAGATGATACGACAACAAAGTCGATCATCGACCTCCGGCCTAGGGTGTCCTGGTGCCACGTGCACTGGTGGACACCCTTTGTGCTCGAACATGGTGTTCGTGATGGACAAACTGTGACTGGCACAGAAGTCCAACAACTGAACACCGCTCGGGTTCAGATCAGGGGGGCCGCTCTTCCCGATCACCCCTCTCCAAGTGTCACTGGCGTTTCCCACATGGGCGTTGAAGTCCCCCAGGAGAATAACGGAGTCCCCGGGCGGTGCACCGTCCAGTACCCCTCCCAAGGACTCCAAGAAGGCCGGGTACTCTGCACTGCTGTTAGGCCCGTAGGCCGTCACAACAGTGAGAGACTTGTCCCCCACCCGGAGGCGGAGGGACGCGACCCTCTCATTCACCGGGGAGAACTCCAACACGTGGCGGCTGAGATGGGGGGCAATGAGAATGGCCACCCCAGCTCGCCGCCTCTCCCCGCGGGAAACACCAGAAAAGTGGAGCGTCCAACCCCTCTCAAGGAGTTGGGTTCCAGAGCCCAAGCTGTGTGTGGAGGTGAGGCCGACTATCTCTAGTCGGTATCGCTCAACCTCCCCCACAAGCTCGGGCTCCTTCCCCCCCAGTGAGGTGACGTTCCACGTCCCGAGAGCCAGCTGTTGTGTGTGTGGACTGGGTCGTCGAGGTCTCCGCCTTCGACTGCTGCCCAGTCCTCTCTGCACCATGCCACCACGGACCCCTCTGCAGGTGGTGGGCCCACAGGAGGGACTGCCCACGTCGTCCATTCGGGCTGAGCCCGGCCGGGCCCCGTGGGCTAAGGCCCGGCCACCAGGCGCTCGCCTACGAGCCCCGACCCCAGGCCTGGCTCCAGGGTGGGGCCCCGGCTGCGCCATGCCGGGCGACGTCACTGGTTTCGTATGAGTGCTGTCCATGGTGTCTTCTGGACTGCTCTTTGTCTGACTCGTCACACGAGACCTGTCTGCCATGGGAGGCCCTACCAGGGGCATGAAGCCCCAGACAGCATAGCTCCCAGGATCATCCGAGTACTCAAACTCCCCCACCACGTTAAGGTGGCAGTCCAGGGGGGAGTACTGCATAATAGTTTAACGGAAAACCTTTCTTCTGATTAACAACATGATATATTGGGTTTGATATTTTTACTAAATGCTCAAAGTGATAATGCCCAGAGCACAAAATGATTCTAAATGCATCGATAAAAATCCTTATTTGAATTAGTTTGTTATCTCTGCTGTGTCATAAACCACATTGATCCATGTTTCTTAGACCCGAGTCTGAAATGTTGATATTGTGTTAGCGCTAATAGAGGTAAATGAGTGAAGTGTTGCGTCGGCGGAGGGTCATTTCCCTGTGTGTCCTCTGCTTCATCCTGCTTCTGCTCAATACTCATCTGTTTTTGTCACCGGAGCCTGATCCAGAAGCAGGATGGACCAGACCTGAAGCTGGACATGCACTGAGTCACACACTCCATCTGCTGAATGGTGCTGAATATGTGTGTGTCCTGGGGTTGGCCACCTGCCTGGTCCCCACTTGTTTTTACTGCGCAGAAACCTGAACATGCCCTTTAACTTATACTAACGTCACGCTGCTTATCTGTAATGTAGATGGAAAAGATTGTTGCCAAACTGTGGAACGTTCCAGACAAAAGATTATGAGATCCTTTATTTGTTTCACAGTTGGGAAAGTTCAGTGTTGGATCACAGGTCACAGAACAGTAGTACGAAGAGCGAACAAGGAAAGTGAATATATGTATTGCACAACTCTTTGCTTCTTTATCAATCTAACAATAGAGATGATTTTTTTCTTTAACGTAAAGTTTAAAATAATGTATTTCCTTGTGCTGGGGTCTCTAACCTGTCGCTCACGGCCCTAGTTTTAATAGCTTACAACTGGTTATCCATTATATTCCTAAATTAGCAAACTGCACTGTGTCCGGGGACAGCCCAGGACTGAGCTGGACTGAACTGAGGACCTTGTCCAGAGCCTCCTCAGCAGTAGAGCCTCCTCAGCAGTAGAGCCTCCTCAGCAGTAGAGCCTCCTCAGCAGTAGAGCCTCTTCAGCAGGTATGACCTCCTCAGTAGAGCCTCCTCAGCAGTAGAGCCTCCTCAGCAGTAGAGCCTCCTCAGCAGGTATGACCTCCTCAGTAGAGCCTCCTCAGCAGTAGAGCCTCCTCAGCAGTAGAGCCTCCTCAGCAGTAGAGCCTCCTCAGCAGTAGAGCCTCTTCAGCAGGTATGACCTCCTCAGTAGAGCCTCCTCAGCAGTAGAGCCTCCTCAGCAGGTATGACCTCCTCAGTAGAGCCTCCTCAGCAGGTAGAGCCTCCTCAGCAATAGAGCCTCCTCAGCAGTAGAGCCTCCTCAACAGTAGAGCCTCCTCAACAGTAGAGCCTCCTCAGCAGTAGAGCCTCCTCAGCAGGTAGAGCCTCCTCAGCAGTAGAGCCTCCTCAGCAGTAGAGCCTCCTCAGCAGTAGAGCCTCCTCAGCAGGTAGAGCCTCCTCAGCATGTAGAGCCTCCTCAGCAGTAGAGCCTCCTCAGCATGTACAGCCTCCTCAGCAGTAGAGCCTCCTCAGCAGTAGAGCCTCCTCAGCAGGTATGACCTCCTCAGTAGAGCCTCCTCAGCAGTAGAGCCTCCTCAGCATGTAGAGCCTCCTCAGCAGTAGAGCCTCCTCAGCAGTAGAGCCTCTTCAGCAGGTATGACCTCCTCAGTAGAGCCTTCTCAGCAGTAGAGCCTCCTCAGCAGGTATGACCTCCTCAGTAGAGCCTCCTCAGCAGGTAGAGCCTCCTCAGCAGTAGAGCCTCCTCAGCAGTAGAGCCTCCTCAGCAGTAGAGCCTCCTCAGCAGGTAGAGCCTCCTCAGCAGTAGAGCCTCCTCAGAGACCCTTCTGTTCTCTGGAGCAAAGCTCCTACCATGGTGTGGGGCTGAAACAGTCTCGTGGGGCAGGTGACATATCGTGTGAACAGTGGGAGTGTCCTGGCCAGGGGGACACATGGGTAAAATCTCCAAACTACTTTGAAAGCCTTTAAGAAAACATGTGCCAATGGTACTTTTGTACTTGTTTCACTGGTACCATATGTTGAGATCCTTCCTGGTGTCTTAGTGCATGTGTTCTATGTGTATCCTCTCAGTTCAGTTAAAATGTGTGTGACCCAGCCTCATGTCTGACAGAAACCACATGGGAGCGCCCATCGTCTGTGCCCGGGACCCCCAAGACCTCCAAGAGACACAGCCACTGCCTCCCAGCAGGTATGAGCCTCCTCATGGTGTCTCTCATGGTAAACAGGTCCTGGCCACATTCACAATGTTCTGCCCACAGACAGAATCATTCTTGGTTATTGAAGAACTGTTTTATCCTGAGATCCCTAATCCAAAAGTGGATAATGTTTAATAGGTCACTTTTGAGTATTAGATTTCATGGCTGGAGTCTTCAGTCTGACAGGGTTCTCTTCCATGTTCAGCCGTACACAGCACAAAGCCTCCTCTCATCACCAACACATCCGCCACTGACTCACTTAGCCCTGAGAGCCGGCACAAGCCAGGCCCTGTGCTCTGTGCCGGCTCCTGGAGCCCAGGGCCACGCATATGGAACAAGATGGAGGAGGGAAGGGGTTCAAAAAGACAAAAGGAAACTTTTTGGCACTCAGCGAGGCTTTGTCGGAATCTGAGCTGCATCCTGGATGCTCTGTGTGGATTTAAATTAAAGGATCATCAAGTTGTTTGTTTGATGTGTGACATCAGCACCTGGTTAGTCCACTACACTCTATGGTCACTACACTCTATGGTCCACTACGCTCTGTGGTCCACTACGCTCTGTGGTCCACTACGCTCTATGGTCCACTACACTCTATGATCCACTATGCTCTGTGGTCCACTACGCTCTATGGTCACTACACTCTATGGTCCACTACACTCTATGGTCCACTACGCTCTGTGGTCCACTACGCTCTATGGTCCACTACGCTCTATGGTCCTCTACACTCTATGGTCCACTACGCTCTATGGTCCACAGCCCTCTATGGTCCACTACGCTCTATGGTCCACTACGCTCTATGGTCCGCTACGCTCTATGGTCCTCTACACTCTATGGTCCACTACGCTCTATGGTCCACAGCCCTCTATGGTCCACTACGCTCTATGGCCCACTACGCTCTATGGTCCGCTACGCTCTATGGTCCACTACACTCTATGGTCCACTACACTCTATGGTCCTCTACACTCTATGGTCCACTACGCTCTATGGTCCACTACACTCTATGGTCCTCTAAACTCTATGGTCCACTACGCTCTATGGTCCAGACTGTAACAGAAGTAGTTGTAGTTTGTCTCCAGTGCAGACAGTAAAGTCTCGTGTGTGTGATGTGTGCAGTGAATGGGTTCCACTCTGGAGGCAGTGTGAGGAAGTGCAGCACCGAGCCTCAGGTGAGACACTCCACACGAGAGTAGCTTTCACAACATTATAGTTTACACACGTTAAAGCTTCACTACAACAGAAGAGAAGTAATGTTTCAGTTTGTCTTGTTGCTAAAATCTCACAAACACTGTCTGATCCCATCGATCCCAGGGTTTTGGCCCCAAAAACTCTCCTCCGTACACACTGGTGTCAGACGTCTTCTTACCAAAGCATCTACACATGTGAGCCCTTCACTGTTAGCATAACGACACGCACCATGTGACATACAGGAAGCTCTGACTATCAAAGTTACCTGAAATATAAAGTTCAATATAAATAAATAGATTATTATTATTACATGGGTGCTTTTGAGGTTGATGTGTTGTTGTGTCCACAGAGTCCAGTTTCCATGTCCCCGACCAGGAGACAGCACAAGGACTCCACCGTCACGGTCAGAACATTCTCTAATAATCCACGATAATCCACAATGAATGAACATACAGAGCTTTAAAGGCAATTCTAACAAGTCTTTGGAAAATAAATGAACTTTGAAATGTTGGCTGAGTGGATAGCACTCTCGCCTCTCAGCAAGAAGGTCCTGGGTTCCAATCCCAGTCGGAACAGGGCCTTTCTGAGTGGAGTTTGCATGTTCTCCCCGTGTCTGTGTAGGTTTTCCCCGGTTTACAATAGGTCTGGCATGCACCTCCTGTACTGGCAACCCCGCTCCCATCTCTGTGTGGAGTGAGAGACAAATGCCCAAAAAATAACAATTGTAAACCTCTTTGTGACTCTGGTCTGTGAAAGGCGGTATATAAATAAAGATTACTTACTTAAATTCTGAATCAACTAAATGCATCATGGTTCCTGTTTGTAATGGACAGAAAGAGGGAGTGGTCTTAATGAGCCGAAATACATATATCTATTATACGCATGGCTTGTCCCTGTGCTCTTAAATGCATCTGCGGGTCTTGTCTCAATAGTATCTGGTTTACAGACACTCTCCTGAAGTGATTATGGTTTACATGTGTTTTGCTCGATCTAAATGTTTTGAGCGAGATCCGGTTTTCACTGGTGCTTTGTAGAAATACACATGACTCCTTTTAGAAAGTCCACAATAAAACCCTCCAGCTTTGATCGTTTTTGACTGATTGTTGAAAATGTCATACAGAATATCATGGATTAGATAGAGATTGACCCGTTGTAGTCAAGGTCTCATTTTCTCCTGTAACGATCACAATGTTTTATCGCTATTGTCCATGACCATATAAATCTCAGAAGAGGAACATTCTTTAAAACATCCAACATCCAAATTGTTTTATTGCCATGACAAACGTAACAAGCTGTCACAAACTAGGAAAATGCTTTGGCTCTCGTTGCAAACAAGTTAAAGTAGAGAATAGAATAAAGCAGGATAAAATCTACATACATTTCTTCAAATTACTACTTTATATATATTGAAAATAAACACAGACGGGTGCCGTTTTCAGAGGCTTCAGTCTGAGGTTTGTCCATGTGAGGCCTCTTAAGGTAATGGGCGCTAAACAAATTTGATTATTGTCAAGTTTTAGCCCAAGAGACATTTAAAAACCAAATGCAGAAAACACATTGCAGATCTGAACCTTGATCCTGGGAAAGTTTGATTTTGACCTAAGTTTAGATGAATTAGTTCCTGATTAACTAAAGTTGAAATATATATTTATACATGAAAGTAAAATGTGTGTGTGTTTGTGTCTATTTGTGTGTGTGTGCGTGTGTGTGTCCATGTGTATGTACGTGCGTATGGGTGGTGTGTGCGTGTGTATCCGTGAGTGCATGTGGTGTGTTTGTGTGTGCGTGCGTGTATTTGTGTGTGTGTGTGTGTGTGTGTGTGTGCGTGCATGTGTGTGTGTGTATTTGCAGGTGAATTGTGTGACGTTCCCGCTTCCAGGCTTCACGTCTGACCAGCAGCTGCTCAAACCAAACGACTGGAGCTACTGCGACTTCTTCTGGGTGAGACCTGAGGATTTCAAACCATTTACATTCCACAACAACAAGAACAAGCTACACAAAAACACACAGTTTGTAAAAGAGTTGGACGGAGCCGACACTTTATGGCCTTTCACAGCAGAGAGAGCAGAGCATGATACTGACAGAATGAGTGATGGGAGAGAGGTGTAGGGCAAAAATGAAACTCAGATTGATTTCAGATGTGTCATTATCTTCAAGAGATCGACATAGAATACTTAAAGAAGCTATACCCGATTTTTTTTCTAAGTAGTTCATAAAAATGCTTTTTACTACATACAAGTTGTATCATAATACATAATTTATTTGAAAACTTGAGGTCATTGATTCCACTGTGTATGAAATTCAGGCAGTGAAAAGTGCTGAGTAGAGTCTGAGCGGGCCGCTCTTTCTCCTCCGCTCACAGAACAGCAGCGAACAGCCTGCGTCCTCTAGCCTCTACAGCGCTGCTTAACACCAGGGCTTCAACTTCAAAATTCAAATATAATTCTAAAATAAAAAATATATACATATTTGAACAAATATTAGACAACCCTTATAATTAGAAATGTATTTAATGACTGCAAATAAAATAGTTAGCTCCCAAAGGTTTCACCGGGACGTGCTAGGCAGGTAACAGCTAAGCTAGCTGTTTCATGGTAACTTCCGGGTTTTTCGCGATCGCTTTTTGTCATTTTAAAACAGTATTTTTGTCATGAAAACGTTTACAGCAAATTCTGAAATCGTCCGTGCATGTGTGTTAAGGATGTATATGTATACTGTATTGTCCGATTGACGTTTAATGGTGTTGATTGATTGATATGTAGCGTTATTTGTTTATTGAGCGTGGCTAGCTCCGCTAGCTTCTCTACACAGACAAGTGTGCAGAAAAACTGCACAATGTAGTGCGCGCTGATAGCTTGTTGTACTTGCAAAGTAATGGCAGTATTTTACACTCCTGAATTACAAACAGAGATTGCATTGGGGCTGCGGTCATTATTGGTTTGAGAGTTCTGTTATCAAGAAAATGATAGGAAGAATTGCATTCAAGTCAATGGAGTGCTGCTGCTGTGAGGAGCTGTATAATAAATTATAATTAAATATTAGAATATATTCTAATGTTAAAATTAATACATTCGGACGAGAAACTAATGGTATTCTTTTACTTATATATTGTGTTAGCAGTGCATTGCTTTAGTACCATTTCATCAGTGATTGTTGCACAGCTTACAAGTTGCGCTAATGCTAATGTTAGCATACGTATCAGATCGCAAATAAAACTAGGTGGCTCCGTGTTATGAGAGCGTAGGGGAAATGAGAAGCCTGTGAGCGAGTTGGGGGCGGGGCTAAACATTCAAACATTGCAGAAACGGGTATAGCGCCTTTAAACATGAACAGAGAATAAAAACATATTTGCTTCTTCTCACATTATTTTCTTTTTGTAAACCATTTGGGTACTTTTGGATAATTTCCAAAGACTCACCAGACAACATCTCAAGGCACACTACAGTAACTGGCAATGGCACGCTGGCTGAAAAACACTCAATGAAGCCCAATAGGGAAATGCTCATGAACAAAGTGTTGATCCTAATCCCTCTGGCTCCTTTTGACGTATGTATTTCTATTGTCTTGTAACTGTTTGTGTCAAATTCACCGTTTTGGGCTGAAAAATAATCTCTAGTTGAGTGTTCTCCATGGTTCTGAAGTTTGTCAATCCTCATCCAGCAGTACTCGCTTCTCGACACGTTTGTCTTTGTTGAACCTTTTAAGCATTAAACATTTAAGTGTATAAAGTGCATTACACCTGGCTGAGTGGTTAGCACTCTCGCTTCTCAGCAAGAAGTTCGGGTTCGTATCCCAGTTGGGACAGAGTCTTTCTGAGTCTTTGCATGTTCTCCCTGTGTCTGAGTAGGTGTCCTCTGGGTGCTCCGGTTTCCCCTACCACTAAAAATATGAACAATAGGTAATATCCTCCAGCTCTGGTCCTGACCGAGCCAAGCATTGACAGGTTCCTGGCACTGTTACTACGGCGACCACTGGTCCTGACATAAGCCTTAGTGGCATCTGAATGGGTCAAATGCAGAGAATGAATTTCCCTACGAGGAATAATAAAGTGCGCCTTTACTTTCACATACAGATACTTTGTATGGAGTGAAAGAATAATGACATGTGAAGCGTCCAAAAAGCGTTGTATAAAACTGATTATTATTGTTATATATCCCTCGTGCCTACAGCTCTTGTCTGGGGTTGTTTTCCTCTACATACCTGCTCTTACAGTTTCATGTGTGTTTCAGGCCGACAGACAAGACGCCCAGGGGAACAGCACCCTTACAGGCTTCGAGGTGCTACTACACAAACAGCTGAAGGGGAAGCAAATGCAGAAGGAGATGGCCGACTTCATCAGAGAAAGGTGCCACCGTGAACAATTTCATCATCTTTATATTTAGAGGCCAATATAGAGAACAATAAACCCTGAGAGGGTAAAATAATGGGAATCCTCAAGTCCTGGGTTTTTAACTCACCATGAAGGCCGTGGAGGGACTTGTACACAGCCCGGGTCTTCTTCAGTCTGACAGAATCCCTTACTATCAGAGTCCACCACCTCTGGATTTATGTTGGGATCACACCCTTCAGCCTCTCCGGGAAGGTCTACTCCAAGGTAGAGGAGACTTCAACAGACAGTCGAATCTCAGATTCAGTAAAAAACAGTGTAGACGAGCTCTAAACACTCGGGTAATCGAGGGATCATGGGAGTTTGCCTCAGTCCACAGCATGTGCTTTGTGGATCGATCACGAGAAGGTGTTTGACCGTGTTCCCCTTGTTCACAAGTGAGGGAGGGATGGAGCGTCAGATTGACAAGCAGATTGGTGGTCATGTGCAGTGACGTGGTCCCTGGACCGTTGTGGGGAAGAGGGAGCAGAGTCTACCATCAGAGCTGTCTCGAGCTTTTGTGGTGACAATGGAGTTTTTCCTTTCAGGGATTAAAAAGGAATAGCCCTCAATTTACCGGTTGATCTATGCCCCCTCCCTCACCAGTGGTCATGGGCTTTGGGTAAGAGTGGCTGGGTACTCCCTTAGAGATACGGTGAGGAGCTCAGTCGCACGGGAGGAGCTCGAAGTAGAGCCACAGCTTCAAGAGGAACTAGTTGAGGTGGCTCGGGCATCTGTTCTGGATGCCTCCTGGGCGCCTCCCTGGGGAGGTGTTCTGTGCACGTCCAACCGGGAGGAGGCCCCGGGGAGACCCAGGACACGCTGGAGGGACTATGTCTCTCAGCTAGCCTGGGAACGCCTCAGGATCCCCCCGGATGAGCTGGAGGAAGTGTGTGGAGAGGGAGGTTTGAGAACCTCTGCTTATGCTGCTGCCCCTGTGACCCGGCAACGAATAAAGCAGAAGAAAACAGATCTATGGACCATTTACGTTTGTCCTCGAGTGAAATGGTTTGGACACCCTTGGTCTACTGTTTCACCGTAATGTGGTGTGTTTTCATACACTGCAACCATAACTTGTCTCTGTAGGAACAATGATGAAATGGAGGTAGCACAGTGCAGTAAACATAGATGTATTTTTATCTCCTTCACACTGTGGGTTGCTATGGAAATCACAGCAAACTTTCTGTTTGAGCTCTTTCATGTGCAGTAGCAGGAAGTGGACATGAGCAGGTGATAACTGTGGCTTTTCTCTGTCAGGATTAAGATCGAAGAGGAGTATGCCAAGAGCCTCTCCCGCCTCTCGCAGATCCCACTGGCCAATCAGGAGGAGGGGTGAGTGTGCCCGCTCTCAGTCCACAGTCTCATTCACAATGAGCAAAAACCTTGCAAGTGACAGAACAATACGTCATAATTTCTGCATCTGTTTTGGTTTTACTTAAGGGAATTTATGACCCAAAGTAAAATTATTTTGAACTCCACGCAGTACGCGTTAAACACTATAATATACAGTATTGTTTATATCGTTATGTGGTGCATGCTCCGTCCACACTTGGCGGCCTGAAGGGTTGCCACTTATGTCTGACAAAAAAACGTGGACATGTCCCGAATCCGATCGACCCTTTTGCTCAAGCAGCAACATCTCACACTTCTGACCCAAGACAAATATTTCCCTTCCACAGCGAATTTTGGGCATAACCTTGTGATGAAGCTATTTTCAGTTACCGCTACTGTAGTATAATTTTGTATACTATTTAGTTTAGTGAATTTAGTTAATCTATTTACAATACTACAATGTCGTCATTATTATTGTTGGCTTATTTCCTAGCACTTTTGGTCGTAGAAAACTTGGATTCTTTTGTGTAGACTTATAGTTAGCCTGGCCTTATCCATCCGTTAACTCCAGTCCATTATCATTTCCCTACATGTACGTCAGGGTCTGATCCTAGTGGCTGCGGTTTCCTCGGTTGAATCCCCTCCGACCAATCAGCGAGCGGGGGAGATTGTAGGGAGGTGTCGGTGACGTCAAGAGTTTGCGCCAAAATTGCCGGTTGTAGTTTGGCAATGGCGGAGAGTGTGATAGTAAAGTAATCCGTTCTGGTTCAACTCCAAATATCCAGAAATTGAAGCCAAGAGTAATGTTTCAAGTCCATCTGAAGTTCTCCTCCAAGGTCAGCTCCTCCAGCCTCCTCCACCTCCACCTCACTCTGCAGCTGCATGGGTCCTCCATCCAGACCTCTCTTGCCTCAGTACATAGGCTACATGCGAGAGCTAGGTTAAATGCTAAACGCCTCACTCGGGCGCATTACATGTCACGGTAAAATCAGAACCAATCGTTTGGAGCAAATCCAGACCTTAGTACGAAATGAAATGAGTACAATGGTATGGTAAGACCAGACTAGCACATAGTAGGCATGTCTTTTGTTACACTGTGTACTTTATTTATCCAATGGCAAACCTTTAATCACAGGCAAGAACCTTTTAATTCATTCATATTGCTAACATTACGGATTTGGCTTTGGTTGCTGTTCTTTCACTTTGCAAATAGCATGAGACTTTTCCAAATAGCCAAAGGTCAGGAAGCTCTATCATACATTTTCGAAAGCCATATCCTTGATTATAATTATTTCTAACCTTAACCCTCAGTCTACATGTATCCCAATAGTAGTCTGTCTCGCCAGTTTTCAATGAACAGAAATATACACTTTGTACATCCTTCAATGTCCCGGGAGAATATGTTTTTTCCTTGAGACAGTCCATTCAGAAGAAGGACGTATTTGAGCGACAGAAGAGCGGTATCCTGCTGAGCGCCTTTTGTCCCCATTAGGACACCGTTGCAGCACACCGACAGTGGGAGGCATCTTTATTAAAGGCGTCTGCACCGGGACATTCCAAAAGCCGAGGGGCGCGCCATGGAAACAAAAGACAGACTGTCCGGACCGTCTTCACCTCGTGCTCTCTCAGTACATGACTGGCTCTTATTGCGCTCGGAGGCTTAGAACTCAATTCAATCCAATTAAATGTATTCTTTTAACTCTCGGATTGGATTTTTACTTCAGACAGCTACTTGTGCATGTTTCATTTATTTGGTCCAATACCATGCACTATACTGCAGGAATGGACAATGCTCCCCAAGCTCTGTGAAGCCTGATGGGGAAGTACTCATGGACAAAGTTTGGCTCCATTCTCTTACATCAAAATCTTCAGAGACAGATTCACTTAAATGTTCATTTTTGTATATATCAAAAAATTTATTTGCATAAAAAGTTACAAAAAGATGCAAAAGTGGCAAAATAATCCTCTTTCAATGTAACCCTCATGACATACTCACCATTTTGATCAAAAATATGTGTTTTGATCATCTGCATGACCCTAAGTTAGTTCAAGTTCAAGTCAGAGGCAGAGCGTTTAGATACAGACGCTGTGGAATCAGCTCCTCATCCACGTCAAGGAGGCAGACACGGTCTCTACATTCAAGGCCAGGCGTAAAACAGTCCTCTTTAAATCAGCAAATGGTAAGGTAGGTACGACTCGGGTAAAACTTAGAAAAACAACTCTAAGTCTATGTAGAAATTGTACGGCTGAAGGCTTTGTGAGTCCCTGCAGACCACTAATAAAAAGTGCTACATCGTGCATAAACAGCACCGAGGATGAAACCGGCTGGAGCAGCACTGTCCCAAACCCCTCCCAGGGACCTCAAGAGGGCCGAGTACTCTGCTGTTTGGTCCATGTGTGAACCAAACTCCACAGGAGGGCCCTGTTGGCAAAGGCCCAGGCCACCACACCCTCGCACACGCGCCCTAACCCCAGGCTCCATTGGGGGCCCTGATTGTGCCACATCGGGCAACGTCACGGTCCTTGATTTATTCTACTCACAGTGGGTCTTGGACTGCACTTCGTCGACTCATCACCTCGGATCTGTTTGCTGCGGGAGACCAGGGGCATCATGCTCCAGCAGAGAACACCACTCCTAGGCAGTGATAGGCAGTAGCGTCGCTACAAGTAGCGTCGCTACAAGTAGCGTCGCTACAAGTAGCGTCGCTACAAGTAGCGTACTACTACTACTAGCTAGCTTAACTACATTTTTCAGTAGCTTGACAGTAGCGTCACTATTTACAAAACCTAGTAACTTTTCTGTAGCTAAGCTATATTGTGGCTCAAGTAGCGCGGTAGCGTCCGCCAAAGCTATTTTCCCACGGACATCTCTGATGTTCATACATTACAGCATTTTCCCGCAGCATAAAACAAACATATAGAAAGACAGAATGCTGATGCGCATGCGCAGGGCTTGGTAACGACACACACACACGAACGTACGCGCACACACACACGCACACACATGCGCGCGCGCTACTGGGGGAAGCAAAAGCATGGCAGAGAGCCCAGGAGCCGCCGCGGTGGAGGAGGACCATGATAAAGACTCTCAAAGTGTTGTACCGTGGCCATACCTCCAAAAGTACGTCACTCTAGTCGAGATGAGCGAAAAGAAATGTTTTCAGATGCCTACTCTTTGTTGTTTTTGGTGTTTTGGGCTATTGTTCAATAAATATTGAAGCCAAGAGTAATGTTTCAAGTCCATCTGAAGTTCTCCTCCAAGGTCAGCTCCTCCAGCCTCCTCCACCTCCACCTCACTCTGCAGCTGCATGGGTCCTCCATCCAGACCTCTCTTGCCTCAGTACATAGGCTACATGCGAGAGCTAGGTTAAATGCTAAACGCCTCACTCGGGCGCATTACATGTCACGGTAAAATCAGAACCAATCGTTTGGAGCAAATCCAGACCTTAGTACGAAATGAAATGAGTACAATGGTATGGTAAGACCAGACTAGCACATAGTAGGCATGTCTTTTGTTACACTGTGTACTTTATTTATCCAATGGCAAACCTTTAATCACAGGCAAGAACCTTTTAATTCATTCATATTGCTAACATTACGGATTTGGCTTTGGTTGCTGTTCTTTCACTTTGCAAATAGCATGAGACTTTTCCAAATAGCCAAAGGTCAGGAAGCTCTATCATACATTTTCGAAAGCCATATCCTTGATTATAATTATTTCTAACCTTAACCCTCAGTCTACATGTATCCCAATAGTAGTCTGTCTCGCCAGTTTTCAATGAACAGAAATATACACTTTGTACATCCTTCAATGTCCCGGGAGAATATGTTTTTTCCTTGAGACAGTCCATTCAGAAGAAGGACGTATTTGAGCGACAGAAGAGCGGTAGGAGCCGCCGCGGCAGGAGCCGCCGCGGTGGAGGAGGACCATGATAAAGACTCTCAAAGTGTTGTACCGTGGCCATACCTCCAAAAGTACGTCACTCTAGTCGAGATGAGCGAAAAGAAATGTTTTCAGATGCCTACTCTTTGTTGTTTTTGGTGTTTTGGGCTATTGTTCAATAAATATCTACAAAATTTTAACCTTTATCTGACTGACAGTTTATCTCAAATAAGAAGATAAGCTTTATTAATCTCACACAGGAGAAATTTACATGTCACATTTGGCATGGATAAAACACTCAAGAATTGTGAAAAAAATAAGAAATGAGCAAACATGTTAATGCAGGAAAATATAAAATTGCATGAACTGCAGTTTGTTTAATTGAAAATAGCTTCTATATAGCAAGCTACTTTTGACAGAATTTTGTAACTTAGCTTGCTACATTTGTATGGGTGGTAGCTTCTGTGTAGTGAAGCTGAATTTATTGTAGAGTAGCTTGTAGCTTAGCTCACTACACAAATCAAGTAGCTTGCCCATCACTGCTCCTAGGGTTATCAGAGCACAATAACTCCCCCATGGTGAGGTGGAGATTTATGGAGAATATATACAGTATATATAAATATATATAAATTATGTAAGCAGAGAGTTCAAGTTCACCATTTGCATGGGATATTTACACTTCTGATTTTTAGCAATGATTTGATGTTCTAGTCATTAAAAGTAGGACATTGACAAAAACAGTTAGAACTTTGAGTGGCCGTATTGATGCTGTAAATGCCCCTGTGGTATTCACAGCAGATTGTGGTGTGGTGTGTGAATGCCACGGCGCACAACACTCTGCTTGTGTGCTGCTGGGACAATCCTCCAGTGTTCAGTGTGTCCAGAGACGCTGAATCTGCCTTTGTCCACTGCACAAGTGACCATACGGCATGTGACGTCCATCACTTTTACTGAGGCTAACAGAAAAGGCACCACACTCAACTTCTCCAATGTAAGAATAAGCTAAAATGTATTAATATCAGCTTTATGTTATATTAATGATTCTGAAGAAAAACCAGCCAGAGCCAACCATTGCATTAGATTATTGTTTGCAAATTACACAAAAATTGGATGAAAAGTTGTGCCTTGCTCTCTCCAGGGGGGACAAGGTCCCCGAAGAGATTGAAAGTTGGATCAATGCAGCATCTGCATTCAGAGCTGTATCAGAACCAATTTAAGTTCCCAGCCTCACCTCTGGTCTTACGCTTTGGGCAATGACCTTTTGGTCAAAATTAGTTTCCGCCATGTTGAGAGGAATCTATTTGGGAGGCCTCCTGGTCGCCTCCTGGGGAGGTGTACCGCATATGAGGAGGCACAGGGGATGATCCAGGACCTGCTGGAGGGACTGTGCCTTGAGCTGGCCAGGGAACACCCCAGGATTCCCCTGGAGGATCTGATGAAGTGTGTGTGGATAAGGAAGTCTGGATGTCTCAGACAGATCCCCCGCAGTCTGCCAATGACTAAAGCGGAAGAAAATGGATGGATGGATTATTAATATGTGTGTTAAGAGTAAGGTGTATTTTTTGTCCTTGTTTAGGACTTTGGGAGAGGCCTGGGCTCAGCTGAAGAAGAGTTTGGCAGACGAGGCTGAAGTCCATCTGAAGTTCTCCTCCAAGGTCAGCTTCTCCAGCCTCCTCCTCCTCCACCTCACTCTGGAGCTACATGGGTCCCCCATCCAGACCTCTCTTGTCTCAGTATACATACAGACTCAGACCTCACTTGTCTCAGTATACATACAGACTCAGACCTCTCCTGTCTCAGTATACATACAGACTCAGACCTCACTTGTCTCAGTATACATACAGACTCAGACCTCTCCTGTCTCAGTATACATACAGACTCAGACCTCACTTGTCTCAGTATACATACAGACTCAGACCTCTCCTGTCTCAGTATACATACAGACTCAGACCTCACTTGTCTCAGTATACATACAGACTCAGACCTCTCCTGTCTCAGTATACATACAGACTCAGACCTCACTTGTCTCAGTATACATACAGACTCAGACCTCACTTGTCTCAGTATACATGCCGGCCCAGACCTCTCTTGTCTGATGTGAGTGAGGTGTTTGTTTGCGGACAGCTGCAGAGCGAGGTGGAGAAGCCCTTCCTGACTTTCAGAGAGAGCTTTAAGAAGGACATGAAGCGTCTGGATCACCACATATCTGACCTGAGGAAGAGCCTGGTGGGACGCTACGCAGCCGTGGAGAAGGTACTTACACATCACCTCTATAAACGCTTTCATAAGATAATTACATTGTTTAAATCAGAGGTTAACAACGCCAGGGTGTTCATTACCCACAGTAGAGCATGGGTCACCTAGACCTACTCCAAAAGAGACAAACTAATGAAGTCAAAAGTACTGAACCAGAATTTATGGAGGGATATGGAACTTCAAAGTGGGCAGAGCTTATGGTTTCAGGAAGTAAAAATTCCATAGAGATGTTGTAAAATAATTCTTATAAAAGATTAGAAAAATATGCTTTTTTAAATTCGGGTTGACAACACATTCACTTCCCAGCAAGAAGGTCCTGGGTTCGAATCCCAATCAGAACAGGACCTTTCTGTGTGGAGTTTGCATGTTCTCCACGTGTCTGCGTAGGTTTCCTCCAGGTGCTCCAGTTTCCCTTACCGTTAAAAACATGCACAGTAGGTCTGGCCAAAAAATAACAATTGTAAAAATGATAGCTACAGTTATCTTTAACATAACTGTTGAACTTCAAATGCAAAAAAAAAAAATAGTGCCATATACATTTCCCATTTTTATTTTTATTTTTTCACCTGTGCATCTACAGTATTTGCAATGTCGTAGCCCTCAAGCCATATTAAGGTGAATGTGTGTTCAGGCCCGGAAGACTCTGGCCGACCGGCAGAAGGATCTGGAGCTGAAGACGCAGCAGCTCGACCACAAACTCAACAGCAGCAAATCTGAGGAAGAGATGAAGAAGGCTCGCAGGAAGTCCACACAGGCAGGTCAGCTCCAACTCCTCTGAATCCTCTGCATCCTCTGCATCCTCTGAATCCTCTGCTCTGCATCCTCTGCATCCTCTGCATCCTCTGCATCCTCTGAATCCTCTGCATCCTCTGCATCCTCTGCATCCTCTGAATCCTCTGCATCCTCTGCATCCTCTGCATCCTCTGAATCCTCTGCATCCTCTGAATCCTCTGCATCCTCTGAATCCTCTGAATCCTCTGCATCCTCTGCATCCTCTGCATCCTCTGCATCCTCTGAATCCTCTGCATCCTCTGCATCCTCTGAATCCTCTGCATCCTCTGAATCCTCTGAATCCTCTGCATCCTCTGCATCCTCTGAATCCTCTGCATCCTCTGCATCCTCTGCATCCTCTGCATCCTCTGAATCCTCTGAATCCTCTGCATCCTCTGAATCCTCTGCATCCTCTGAATCCTCTGAATCCTCTGCATCCTCTGCATCCTCTGCATCCTCTGCATCCTCTGAATCCTCTGAATCCTCTGCATCCTCTGAATCCTCTGCATCCTCTGCATCCACACGTCACATCAGGCTGGGATCAGATCACAGTAGTTTGTTGTTCTCAGTGGTCTGGTCTCAGGTGATTGGTGGAGCCTGGCTGCGGTCAGAGCAGAGAATCAAACTCATTTTGGTCAGGGGCCGAAAAAAAAGGAACAGGAAAAAAACACTCTTTTTAGTTTACAAACATAACATCCAACAACATTTAATTTATAATACATTAAAATGAGAACAATAAATACAATATTGTAGCATCTGAAAAATGATAGAACTTGGGATGACAGGACGAGCTCACAGTCGTTCATTACGTTTGCATTTCATGTTTTAGAATTTGAAACAAGTTTCACATTGATGTGTTTGTGGTTAAACACAACACTGAAGGTCTGAGGATTTGTCACAGTTTAAAAACTGAGCATTTGGCCAGAAGGGAATTGACAGGTTTGTGTTAGAAGATCCTAAAGGCAGCGTGGATGGAGCTAAAAACAGCTCCATGTCTGTGCCTGATGAGGGACACTTTTAAAACATGGTTAAGATCCAGAAACACACAGAGTTTAAATCCTTTAAATACACAACATTTATTCAATAGTATTAAAGCTGTTTGTGTAACACATGTGTCTGTTCAGTGGGTTCAGCCTCAGGGACTGGTTATCAGTATGTGGTGCACATGTGCCTGGTTCAGCCTGGTTCAGTCTGGTTCAGTCTAGTTCAGCCTGGTTCAGCCTGGTTCAGCCTGGCTCCTCTGTGTTTGGATTGTTTGGGCCTGAGACGTTCCCATAGCACTGAGCTGAGACATTTGGTCTGGTTCTGTGACCTTTGTTTCATCTGTCTTTGTCTGATCTCACTGATGTGAGACGTCTATGAAGCTCAAAGCAACACAACAAAACAACACTCTACATAAATCTACCAAAGTATGTTTTTAGAAAACACAGGTTCCAAATCGTTCTATTTTCTTTTTTCTTTTATTTTTTTATTTATTTTGCTCCATCTACACTTGACCTGGGAAAGGTGGAGTACAACAATTCACGTTTTTGTGCGGCCCTCAGGCCTTTTTCCATCCTCCAACTTCATGTAGTCTGCAGCAATTTGAATAAATGGGAATCAATCCCAAAGAAGGTTTGCAGCTTCATGAGTGCTACAATGTTATGTCTTATAACAACTAAGGTATAACATTCTAGAACTCATGAGTACCTCTGTTCATCTGAATGTGAGCCGTCAAAATGACTGCTCTGGGAGTTCCAGATGTTTCAGAATTCTGGGACTCCTAGTGTTAGGGTTAGTGTTACAAACCCTGCAGCAGCAGCAGCAGCAGCAGCAGCAGCAGCAGCAGCAGCAGGTGTCTGCTCTGAAGCTGAACTCAGCTCAAACACTGATGACATCAGTCTAAACGGGAGTGAACTCAGATCCTGAATACATACGACTTTTTCAATAACCAAATCCGATTAACTAATAAAATTAATTTTATTTTCCATCTGCCGTAAAAACCAACATTGTAAAGAAGAAGTTAAAAGCACAGGAACAAAACAAACGAAATAATTGTCTCTGTGAAACCAATCAACAAAAGCAGTTTCAATACAAGTGCAAGATCATTAAAGTTCTTTGTTCAGACTGAGAACAGTTTGTGGAAAGAAGCATCTAGCAAAACAAGAACAATATCTTCTGCCAGAGGGAAGAAGCTGGAACATGGCTTTTCCAGCGGCCAGAAGAGTGATGAACTTGTTACAACCCGATCCCAAACTAATCTAAAACCTCCACAACCGTTCTCCCTCTGGTCTGGATGGCACTGATCACTGCCTCCTCCTTGAGTCCGAGTCGGCAGCAGCCTGTGTCCCACAAAGAGGCTTTATCCGCAGACTCCGGGACGTCTCCTCCACACATGGACGGGACAAACACTGGGACACACTGTTAAAGCTTCTACTCTGCAAACCGTGAAACAAAGTTGGAGACAAGAAAACATGAAATACTGAGGCACATTCAACATAAAGCAGCCCCGGGACCTGAGGAAAGTCTTCAGGAGGAGGCTGCACACTTCTGTCGGAACATAACGACATTCAAGATGCAGAAATTGTAGAAACATACATGACTTCCCCATCTTTAAACCCGGGGTGTCCAAACTAGTCCAGGGGCCGACATCACGGACTGAAAAACTGTCTGGACTGGCATCGAGCTGTTCCTGGCTTTATGATGATCTATAACAGAGCTGAAGTTGGCTGAATGACACATGTTTATCATTTCACCACAAGTTCGTGACACAATAAAAGATCAAGGTCTGTTTGGGCTGAGCTGAAGTTGGATGGATGACACAGGCACAGACTGCTTTAAATATTTACTGTATTGAATTCTGTCAGAAGCAACTGATTTTACCATTTGTTAATTTGTTGATGAAAAAATATATATACTTTTTAATATAACTTGAAACTTTATTCATCTCTCAGTGGAGAAAAGTACATGTTACATTTAGCACCGGTAGCATCGCTCGGGCTGTGCAAAAAGACCGGAAATGTGCAAACAGGAAATGTACAAAAATGTTAAAAGGGAAATAGTGTATAAATAAAACTATATTGTATCTTATGTGCAATAAAAGTGACTATGGCAGTGCAAAGGTTCAGTGTACAGTCTGACAGCGGTTACACAACTCATACACACTTGGATAAATGTTGCAAAGGTCGTCCTGAGCTTTAGGAAACTTACATGTGATTTAGTATTTATGCTTTTCGCCAGGACTTTAATCGATCAATTTTATTTATAGAGTCCTTTACAACTCTCGAGGCGAGCAAAATGCTTCACGATAAAATGACTATTAATCTCCATTAAAACGTTTATGCATTAAAACAATAAAACAGTTCAAAAGCATTAAAAAGTGTCACCTGCTAATGAGTGATAAAAGTGTTTTAGAGAGGACAGGTCTGTCAGGGGCAGCTCGGTCCAGAGTCTGGGTCTGGGAAGGACCGGTCTCCCCAGAGTTTGGACCTAGTCCGTGGTGCTTCCAGGAGGAGTGGAAATGTGATTTGTTTTTACAAACGTTTGCTCGACGGATGTTTGTGCTTAAGTTCGCGCTTGTCTCTAACATTTTTCCAACGGAGAGCTGCTTTTTCAAGAAAAGAAGGCAGAGAGCTCATCCTTTGGCAGTTTGAAAGAAATTGAGTCAATTGAATTGTTTTATTGGTATTTAACTGTAAACAATCAATTATTTTTATGACTTTAATGTTTATTTCTTTGTTTTTTAAGTTGCCTTCTGTATGAACTGTGCTATATAAACTTGTATTGTCTAGCTAACTGTTACATATCTTTAATGCACAAAATTAAAGATCTAAACTGATAAAGGCACTGCAAATATTATCTCTCTCTCTCGCTGGTCTATTCAATTTTCAAGGATTTGTTGAGACGTCTGAATCCTTTGGGGAGCTCCAGAGCAACAGGTTGGAGACCCCTGGTTTAGAATAACCATCAGAGCAGATCAGTAATAAAGCAGTGCCCTCTGCTGGCCACTGGCTGCACTGCTCACCCATTCACACCTGTCTGTGTGAAGGGACCATGGATCTGTAATAATAACACACTTGGTTTGGGGACGAATACTGAGGATATATTGGATATAGAGAGTTACTAACAATGGACTTTCTGGGTTTGGGTCAGCCCCCCCTGGTCCACCTGTGTTTAGAGATGGACTGTCCCGGGTCGGCCCCCCCTGGTCCACCTGTGTTTAGAGATGGACTGTCCCGGGTCGGCCCCCCCTGGTCCACCTGTGTTTAGAGATGGACTGTCCCGGGTCGGCCCCCCCTGGTCCACCTGTGTTTAGAGATGGACTGTCCCGGATCAGCCCCCCCTGGTCCACCTGTGTTTAGAGATGGACTGTCCCGGGTTAGGGCCCTTGTTTAAGTCATCCTTCTCTGGTCAATTCATTTCAATTAATTTTTGTGTAGCCCTAACAGCAGTAACCATCTCAGCGGGCTTTACAATGTTGCTGTGTGTGTGTGTGTGTGTGTGTGTGTGTGTGTGTGTGTGTGTGTGTACGTGTGTTACAGGGGACGAGCTGATGCGCTGTGTGGACCTCTATAATCAGTCTCAGTCCAAATGGTTCGAGGAGATGGTCACCACCAGTTTGGTAAGCATGGATCTTTATTCTTCTTTATTATGCTAAAGTTAGAAATGTTATTTAATTTTAGTATAGACTTTTTGTTTGTTTATCTTGTGTTGTGTGCTCCTCATTCCTTCTGTAACTGGTGATGCAACACTGAAATTCCGGGACGACTAAAGGAGTCTCACTTGTGTTCCATGTTTCAAACTGTTTTCATGATACGGTTTTAACCTTTTAATGTTCACTCCTTGAAGAAAGCAATCTAGTAAAGACAAAAATAATTAGTTTGAACGTTTGGGGGGGTTTTTAACCCCTAGGTTTTTCTTTTTTATTATAGGATGGTTGAGATGCAGTTTGTCCTCACCTGTCCTCACCTGTCCTCACCTGTCCTCTCTGGTCCTCACTTGTCCTCACCTGTCCTTTCTGGTCCTCACCTGTCCTCATCTGTCCTCTCTGGTCCTCACTTGTCCTCACCTGTCCTCATCTGTCCTCTCTGGTCCTCTCTGGTCCTCACCTGTCCTCATCTGTCCTCTCTGGTCCTCTCTGGTCCTCACCTGTCCTCTCTGGTCCTCTCTGGTCCTCACCTGTCCTCTCTGGTCCTCTCTGGTCCTCACCTGTCCTCACCTGTCCTCTCTGGTCCTCTCTGGTCCTCTTGTGGTGTAGGAGCTGGAGCGTCTTGAGGTGGAGCGGGTGGAGATGATCCGGCAGCATTTGTGTCAGTACACCACCCTGAGACACGAGACGGACATGTTCAACCAGAGCGTGAGTAACTACTGCTGCTACTGCTGCTACTACTACTACTGCTACTACTGCTACGACTGCTGCTGCTACTACTACTGCTACTACTGCTACTACTACTGCTACTACTGCTACTACTACTACTACAGTAAGGAAGGGAATGTGAGTTGGGTTTAGACCGTCGTGAGACAGGTTAGTTTTACACTGCTGATCATGTGTTGTTGCAGTAGTATATTTACCCTACTGATCATGTGTTGTTGCAGTAGTATTTAACCCTACTGATCATGTGTTGTTGCAGTAGTATTTAACCCTACTGATCATGTGTTGCCGCTGTCACGGTGTGGATTTTGTTATTTTGTATTTTGGTTTTAGTTTGACTTCCTGTCCTCTTCCCCTCTCTTGATTGTTTGCCCCGCCCTGATGTGTTTCATCTGTGTCTGTGTCTATGTACCTGTGCGTCTCTCCTCTTGTTACTGGTCCATTGTATTGTCAATGTCTGTTTCGTCCTGTTCCTGGTTCTGTGTTCCTTGTGCCTTTGGATTTTGAATTGTCTTCATATGGACTTTTATTTTATTATCATTAAACCCATATTTTTTGGCATTCCTGCTTTTTGGGTCCTCATTCCATTCACAACATGACAGCAGTAGTATTTACCCTACTGATCATGTGTTGTTGCAGTAGTATTTTTACCCTACTGGTCATGTGTTGTTGCAGTAGTATTTTTACCCTACTGGTCATGTGTTGTTGCAGTAGTATTTTTACCCTACTGGTCATGTGTTGTTGCAGTACATCCTCCGCCATCGGTCGGCTGGTTCATCCGTTCCTGGCACATGGGACTATTTAAAACATCACATGACACAGTTCTGATCTGTGTCGACAACTTTGGAAAGTCCTCTGAGATAACGGCTGTTGTGTTTAGGGCTATACAAAAATGAATAGAAATGAGTGATGCTTCTTTATTAGATTGTGGTTTGATTTTTATGAGACTGAGATTTCATTTCATTTTTCATTTATATGTTTATTCCAAAAAACAGCATTAACATAGTTTCAAACACAAGAAATGCAATGATGAAAAACACATAGAGCCATTGGTCCAAAAGAGGCAGAGACCAATGGGCCTCATTCACGAATAACTTCGTAAGAAACTTCTTAAATTTCTTCTCAAGTTGTCCTTAAGTAGATTTCTAAGAAGAGCCTACGTGGGATTCATCAACGCGCTCGTAAGCCGCTGAATTGTTCGCAGCTGTTCTCTTAGATTGATGAATGCCATTTCCTCGTAAGTAGAGCGCGCGTGCCAGGTGATTCATTAGCATAGGTACTTAGCATAGGTAACCGCCCATTAATGCCCATATAAGGGACTGCAGGGCCGTGTGCAGACGGCAGAGGAAACAGCAACAGGCCTAAAGCAAAGAGTTACACGGAGCAAAAGAGTCACCCTTTTTTCTTCTTTTGCCAGACTGAGAATAAAGTTATAAAATGTTGACTTAAAAGTCGAAATATTATGAGAATAAAGTCGAACTAGCAAAATTATGAGATTAATCTAAGAATATGATGAGATTAATCTCAAAATGTTATGAGCTTAATTTAAAAATATATTATGTATTATTTTAAAGATGAATCTCAAAATGTTTTGAGATTAATCTCAAAATATTTTGGACCCTGGGAGGAGATCCAGCGCGGAACAGCGCTGAGACCAATGCAGACCCGAGGAGAGACTGGAGTGACCAGCACACAGAAACCAGCGTGGACCTATAGGAGAGACCGCATAGACCAGACTTGAGAGACCAGTGCAGACCCGTATAGATCCATAGGAGACACCAGCGCAGAGACTCAGCGCGGACCCCGTAACCTCCTGCAGCAGCAGTATATATGCCGTTGTTCTGTGGCCCGTGGATAAAGAAATGCCCCCAATAATTAGGATGGGGTCACTAATACACGGCAAGATTTCCAATGTATTTGATAAAGCGTTGGCACATTTAATTTCAAAATGAATTAAAAAATAGGCCAGATCTGCAGTGAAAAAGGCGGTATATAAATAAAGATTACTACAAATAAATATATACATACATCAATATGACAAACATATCACTGTAATGTTGTGTTTTATTGAACTTCACAACACCAGCGTGTGAACATGTCGGGACTGAATGCGTACGAGTGCTCCTGAGGACTCGTAGGATTTGTACTTACCCAAGAGAAATTCTGGTTACGAGAAAAATTCGTGAATGCCACTTTCTTCGTAAAAACCTTGTAAGTAGGATTTACCTACAAATCTGTTCCTAAGAACCGTTCGTGAATGAGGCCCATTGTTCATAAATGTGAACTGGTGCGGAGAAGCTAAACCTGTGGCTTTTCTTAATTCCTGAGATGGTTTTGTTGAGTAGAAGCACAAACACCTCTCTAACTGTAACTGTACTTCCATATTTGTCCAGACGATGGAGCCGGTGGACCAGCTGCTGCAGTGTGTGGACCCAGTGAGGGACCGGGAGCTGTGGGTGCAGGAGAACAAGACTGGAGAGGTCCGACCGGTCAATCTGGAGATATGAGCTGCAGAGGACACCCAGCGGTCACTCACTCGGAGCACAGAGGACTGCTGACGTTCAAACACAGAGGAGTATGACGCACTGGACGCTTCAGACGTCATCTGTTTACCTGCGCCACTGGAGTTAGGACCCGCCTTTAGAGCAGGGGTCTCCAGTCCAGGTGTGCAGGTTTTCAGACCAAGCAGCAGCAGAGCAGACTCCACCCTTTCCCTCTCACCGTCAGGTTAAGACTGAACTCACTCGAGCCTCAACGGGGGCCATCGCCGTGGTAACTCATCGTGATGGGACCAAAGGGTGCACAAATGTAGAATACGATCAGAGATTCTTTTCTTCTTTGATCATTTTGTTTGTTCCAAAAGAAAATGTATGTGTTTTTGTATCGCCATGAACCTCAACAGTAGGAGGAAAGTTCAAGTAACGTTGTCACTTAGTTATGAGGACCAAAAAGGTAGACACTCTGAGGCATTGCACACAAAACTAAAAGCAGTCACATTGACTGCTCTGGGTGTTCTAGTGTTAAAACCACATTGAATTCCCGGTGTGCAACAATATCAAAAGTGCACCATGTTTCACCAACTCCCCGCGGTCTGATCACATCTATAACAGTTTGCAGAAACAGATCCACATTCTCTCAGAGATAAACTTTGAATCATAATTTCTGAACTACGTTTCTGGAGGTTGAAAATTAGCTTCATGATTCTAGGGAGTTTTAAAACACTATGTTGAAAAATATAATCTGGAAGAACAACTCATTGTTTGGACTTCTTTGGGGCCAGTGAAAAAACATGCCATTATATTCTGTGTACTTTACCTATTGCCAAATTAAGTCAAATTTATCTCATGTTATTGTCACAAAAGAAACCAGAGTTGACATTAATTACAAACCAGTGTTTTGGGTGTGTATGTGAGTATATGATCAAGTGATAATCATGTATCTTTCTGAACACTCAAAGACACAACTATATCAATTCTCTCTGTACACGGTGGTGGCAAACTACTGTGGTAGCCACAGCTGCCCTGGGGCAGACTGACAGAAGCAAGGCTACTAATCCATACCATTGGCCCCTACAACCAACAGTAATAATTCATGCACACACCAGACTCATACACGACAATGTGGGTGAAGTGTCTTGCCTAAGAGCACAACAGTTTGGCACGTTACAGCCGCAGCTGCCCCACTGTGGCACCTGCAGTTCCCAGAGGTCTCCCATCACAGCACTAACCAGGGCACGATTGCCACCATAGTTACAACAGTTACTACAAGGTAACTTACTAGTTCCTCACCGCAAAGCTCTGGTTGAAAGAGCCTCAGATGACTTCCTTTCCATATGTAAATATATGTACTGTAAATACTGTAAATACTTATGTCCAGAGCAGCGGTGGTGGCAGTTGGTAAAGTCCCTCACTGAACACGTGCAGCAGAGGCTTCTGGGACACTAATGCTCTGTACACTCACATGCCAAAGCTGTTTCCCTCAATAAATGTATATTTGAACATTGTCTTTGGTCTTTTTTCACTTTGGTTATAACTGTACTCTAACTGTGTGGTGACATATAAAGGTAAAGTTGTACTTTATTTATCCCCATTGGGCAACTCATCCTCTGCATTTGACCCATCCTGATGCCACTAAGGCTAAGGCAGATGTTGATGCTCGGCTTGGTCAGGACCGCAGCTGGAGGATTTTACATATTGTACATGTTTTTAGTGGTTGTAGTAGAGCAAAACCGGAGCACACCGGGGAAGCCCAGGCAGACACGGGGAGAACATGTAACATGAAATGTCCGCTCAGAAACACCCTCTTTCGACCAGGATCTTCTTGCTGAGAAGCAAGAGTGCTAACCACTCAGCCACTGTGCCGCCCTAAGAACTCAGGTCTGGCTCATACTGCTGTATTCCAAGTGGAATACATCCAACTCCTTCAGTAAGGAAGGGAATGTGAGCTGGGTTCAGACTGTCGTGAGACAGATTAGTTTTACCCTACTGATCATGTGTTGCTGCAGTAGTATTTTTACCCTGATGATGTAGTATTTTACTGATGATGTGGTCGGCTGAGAATGCTTGTTCCCAAAGCCGATGACCAGAACCGCTGAGCTTCACCACCTAAAAACAAACAAAAAACAGTAAACATTTTGACCATTTTTAGCCGTTTTCGGAAGGAAAGAAGGAGGCATACAAATGCATTGGGTCATTCTGTTTCCAGGTACGCCACCACCAGCCCCGAGCGAGAATACAGCATGACACACCCATGGACCTTTTTGAGCTTTGAAATAATGTTTGATTTTAAATAACCCACTCAAGGAGGCCGACAGTAGAGCATTGGCCTTTGAGCCTGAAGGTTGTGGGTTCGAGCCCCAACAAGATCTACTTCACGGCTCCCACTGATGACTGTCGTTGTTGTGTCATTGGGCAAGACACTTAACCCACATTTGCCTGAAGCCCCTGCTGAAAGGTCCGGGCTCCTGTGGACTCACCACCTGCAGGAGGATCAGTGAGAGGCTGGTGCTCTGTGGACTGGGTGCAGCTCCGACTGCCCCCCGTCCAAGAAATGGATTAAGGGGAAGAAAATGGATGGATGGAGGATCAGCCAATCAGAGCTGCCTACAGCCTCACCCCTTGTGCAGACTGTGGGTGTGTCCACATCACTTATGTGTTATACTCCTATTTAATTTTTACATTTCTCTATGTTCATATGTTCTTCTATGACAAAGGCGATGATGGAGAAATGAATCCGAGTGCAGGCGGAGAACGATGTCCTTTTACTGGGGTGAAGGTCTCCCCCAGCACTTCCTGGAGGTAGCAGACATTTCACTGGTTAGCTTATAGTCTGAAATCAACTGTAGGACTATTTTTTTATTTTCATGATTATGAAAATTGTAGATTCACACTGAAGACATCAAAACTATGAATTAACTCATGTGGAAATATGTACGTACAAAACAACTGAAAATATGTGTTATATTCTGGTTCTTCAAAGTAGCACCTTTTGCTCTGATTACTGCTTCACACACTCTTGGCATTCTCTTGATGAGCTTCAACAGTCTTGAAGGAGTTCCCAGAGGTGATTAGCACTTGTTGGCCCTTTCGTCTTCACTCTATGGTCCAGCTCACCCCAAAACCATCTGGACTGGGTTCAGGTCCGGTGACTGCGGAGGCCGGGTCATCTGGCCCAGCACCCACCACTCTCCTTATTGGTCAAACAGCCCTTACACAGCCTGGTGTGGATCTACAGTCAATATACTCTGTAATATATACTCTGTGCAGGATATAATTATGTACAATAAAAAGGCTTTAGCAGTGCTAGTTTTTTTACAGGTCATCAGTGACATAAAATGACTTATTGTACAGTCTGACAGCGGTGGGGATAAAGGCCCTGCGGCAGCGCTCCTTCCTACACTGAGGGTGTCTCAGTCTTCACTGAAGGAGCTCCTCAGCTCCTCTACAGTCCTGTGCAGTGGGAGGTATTGTTCATGATGGAGGTGACTTTGACTAGCACCTCCTGTCCCTCACCTCCTCCACAGAGTCCAGGGGCCTCCTGTCCCTCACCTCCTCCACAGAGTCCAGGGGCCTCCTGTCCCTCACCTCCTCCACAGAGTCCAGGGGCCTCCTGTCCCTCACCTCCTCCACAGAGTCCAGGGGCCTCCTGTCCCTCACCTCCTCCACAGAGTCCAGGGGCCTCCTGTCCCTCACCTCCTCCACAGAGTCCAGGGGCCTCCTGTCCCTCACCTCCTCCACAGAGTCCAGGGGCCTCCTGTCCCTTACCTCCTCCACAGAGTCCAGGGGCCTCCTGTCCCTCACCTCTTCCACAGAGTCCGGGGGCCTCCTGTCCCTCACCTCCTCCACAGAGTCCGGGGGACAGCCCAGAGTGGAGCTGGCCATCCTGACCCACTTGTTCAGTCTGCTCCTTATTCCCCGGGTTTAAAATAGCCTAGGCCAGAATATATAACCCCCTTTAGGCCAGATGAACCTCCCTCTTGATTTTTATAATTAATATACGTTTTTAAATATTTTTGTTTAACTTGAAAATTATTTTGAATAATTCAGAAGTAGTTTGTTTGTTAATTACTCTGTAGCCCTGATTAGTGCGATTGCTTTCCACACTTTGTTTGTGGTTACTGTTTACTGCTAAAGCTGCGAAAGCTACATCTGGCCGGACACGTCTTTGCTACGAAGGTAATCCACTACTTTTTATTTAATAATATTTAACGCAAGTCTATGGTTTGAACAGTGCTGTTTCATTGTCCTTATTTAGAAAAGTTTTTTGTTAATATGGATGAATTACATGTTTATTTAGTCTGCAAACAACATGACCCAGTCTATGGGGAAAACGGGTCATTATGCTAGTTTGAGTAGAGCACATGGCGTGTAATCACTAACAAAATATAGATCCATCTGTAGTGCCGTCGATTTTGTAAAATGTTATCTTCACAAGGATCTAACAAAGAATATCATGTTTGTAAAGTGTATTATCGTGTTCAAGAAAACAGCTATGATGTGTAATCACAACGGGTTTCCTCAAATTATAGCTTTCTAATAGACATTCATCTGAATAAGTGACCCAAACAAAAAGTGAGTTTAAAAATTGTGCAGTGGATTGCATTTTGTGAGTTTGAACAGTTATGTTGTGTACAATGCTACACCAAGTACTAATGATATGCGACCCCCTAGGAAACAAAAGGATTCCTTGATAATAATAATACCTGCTCCTCAGCCCTCAGCTGAAGCAGCCGCGGTACAAAGTCATTTAAGAAAAAAAATGTGAATCACTATCTCACTTTTAACTACGTAACAGATATACAGTTTTTAGTCCACACATTTAGATTTATAGTAATGCAAGTGGAGACTTTGAAGCACTAATCACATGTTTGTACTAAATCTTGTGTCCAGAAGTGACCAACACAGGGACCAACACAAGCCATGGCAGCGGGACCCAGGAGGGGCCCGGGGTCCCGTTTACGGGGGAAAAAACAGCACCATCGCCCACAAGAATGAGCACCTGTAGCTGTGGGCTCTTCTCCCCTATGTTCTCCTCCTCTGCTGCTTCTATGATGTCTGTCACACCCACTGGGGGCGGGTCCCGGCCACAGACTGTAAATATTAACGGACGTAGTCAAACCTATCTCCAGTACAAAGTGAGTTTTAACAAAATGTGTGAATCACACTTTGAGATTTTGAGACTTAATCATATGGTGTACTTAAATTCTAGTGTCCAGCAGAAAGCCCTCGGCTGAAGCAGCCTCAGTACGAAGTTACTTTGAAAAGAAACTTGTGAATCACACTTGGAATTTTCACAGCACAACAGTGATAGTTACACATTTAGATTTATTGTAATTAAAACTAATCACATGTTTGTACTGTAAATTTTAGTGTCCAGCAGAGAGTCTCAGCCCTCGCCACAAGCGGCTACAGGACCAGTCCAAAGTGAGTTAAAAAGAAGTGAATGTCTCTGTAAATCTGTAAATTTAACAATGCTATTATTATTAACTTTTTTTATTATCTAATTTTCAGAAAGAGTGTGGACCAACACAGTTGGTTTGGCTGGGCCTCATCTGTTGGAGGGAGCTCGTTCTCTTTTTCAACAGGTCCCTACGAGGAAGAGGTTTGTCCTAATTCCCTGCGGTGGGAATAATCTGGGTAACTTGCCCAGTATACACTTGTTAATGTGAGGGAGGACCTGCTCCATCACCAGCACCCGGGAATGCAGATCATTTTATCTGCCATTCCTCAGCAGTGCAGGGACAGGGCTGGAGCAAATCTGGCAAAGCTTGAAAAGGCTTGCAGATTTGTCAACAGAGTCATGTCTGCTCACTGATCAAATTAACTGTGTCTTTGTTGCACATGACAAGACAGTTCAAGGCTTCTTAAGGGATGGAGTTAATTTCTCCCCTACGGGGAATTATATATATATTTTTTTATTAATTTAATTTAATTTAATTAATTAATTTAGCAAGTTGCCTTAGTCATGTTTCAAAGGCATTGACTTGCTGGTTGTAGTCTCTGCATTTGAATGATGCCTTCAGGTATTTCATTGACAAAAGCCCCTTTACTGTCGTGTGTAATGTTGTCATTTGACAGTAAATGCAGATCTGTATCCTTTTGGTATTTCTGCACCTTTTTACAGCAGGTGCTGTTCATGCCTGTGAACCGTTCACATCTGTGACCTGTCCTGCTCCACCCAGAGGCTACACCACCTCTGCTGAAGTGACATGGAGCTTTTGCAAAAGTTCACTGTGGTAGACCCGGCTGCTGCTTGCCCAGATCTACAGGCTGCTCTTCCTCGGCTCATCAGACCAGCAACGCCCACATCCAGCAAACCAATAACCACCAGGACAGCAAGTTAAAAGCCGGAGACTCCCACTTGCCGGCCTTCTGAAGTCTGCAAACTTCTGAAGTCTGCAAGGTGCATGTCGCTAACGCACCTGTTCACAAATGCATGCGTTGTTCTGGAGGGGTCGCTTCTGCTCACGTGTTGCTCGTGCGCGTGGCCCGGCTGTCCTCAGTCTGGCTGCTCGTGGTCTGCTCCTCCTCCGCGTCCCTGCACCTGCTGTGGTTCGCGTGTCTCCACTGCTCTCCTCCTCTGTGGGCTGATCCGCGGGGCCCCTCTGCAGGTTCTGTGCTGCTCGTTCCTCGTGGTCTGCTGCCGCGCGCAGACGGTCTGGCGGTGCCGTGCGTGTCCCTGCCTCCGATTGGCGGTGCCGCGTTGTCCCGTTGCTTTTCCCAAGTCTCCTGGCATGTGAGTACAGTGAGTGTGCTGACCGTGGACGGATTAATCCCGGAGTCTAGGCTGCAGGCGGCTGGTTTTTGCCCTGCGCACTGGACTGTAGGCGTCAGTTTTCCCCCCGTGCTTGGTCTGCAGGCTCCGTTTTCACACGTGTTTGAGCTAACTGAGGGACAATGCATATTAAATGGCATCAATCTTTATTGTCTGAGGGATATAAGAGGAGCAATGTGCATTAATTCAGATTCATGTTCTGCCACTTGCAGTAAAACCACGTTGGAAATATGTGCAAAGACTACCCCATCGTGATCAAGACGGCACACACCAGAGCTCTTGCCACGGCGCCATCTTTACAGCATTAATCTCATTACTCGCAGGTCACTATTGTTAAATGAATGTATTTAAATTCGTCTATCTGCAGGAGGAAAGAGGGGCCATGCATTTAAAGAGCTAGGTCACTAGTATTAAATTGGGTAACTAAACTGCAGTTGTTGCATTTTGAAAGTGCAGCAGAAAGAAAAAGGGCCCAATGTGAATCTGCAATGGGTTTGAAGTGGAGTTGGAGCTAATGAACGCATGGAAAAGTGATGGTTCATGCGTATCTGCCATAACCAAAGCAGAAGATGGCTCCAGGGGACATCTGTTATTCGCATGGGAATGTTTCGGATTCGGGATGATTTATTTCCTCAGGCTCTTAAACAACCGTGGGCATGGTTCTCTGACCGCCGCTGCTGCGGTCCCTGCTGCCGTTCCTACTGATGCCTGATCCCGCTGATGCCTGTTCCTGCTGCCGCTCCTGCTGCTGCCTGTTCCCGCTGCTGCCTGTTCCTGCTGCCGCTCCTGCTGCTGCCTGTCCCTGCTGCCTGCTCCTGCTGCTCCTACTACATGTGCCGCTGCTGCTGTTCCTGCCGCTGCCGCTCCGCAGGCTCCCAGGCTGCACCCGTCTCTACGGCTTGGCTCTTTCAGACACGTATGTAACCTGGCTCACGGAGACAAGCGGCGCACGCTGGCGTGACACGTCTGTTTGTTTGTATGAATCGCATTGTGGTGCTACTGCTGCTAATGCTGCTTCTGCTGCTTCATACTGCTACTGCTGCCGTGCTGCTGCTGCTTCTTTACTTTGACACCTCTCTTCACTTCGCATCTCTTTTACTGAAACACTAAACAGCTTCAACAATATTCTACTGCTGTGGCTTTGATACAGGATTATTGCTGTTATTATCTACGGATGCTGCAACCGCTGCTGCTGCTTCATACTGCTGCTGCTTCATACTGCTGCTGCTTCATACTGCTGCTGCTTCATACTGCTACTGCTGCTCCTGCTAATGCTGCTTCTGCTGCTTCATGCTGCTACCGTTACTGCTGCTACTGCTGCCGCTGCTGCTTCATACTGCATCTGCTGCCGTGCTGCTGCTGCTTCATGTACTTTGACATCTCTCTTCACTTCGCATCTCTTTTACTGAAACACTAAACAGCTACGACAATATTCTACTGCTCTGGCTTTGATACAGGATTATTGCTGTTATTATCTACGGATGCTGCTTCATACTGCTACTGCTGCTCCTGCTGCTGCTTCATACTGCTACTGCTGCTGCTTCATACTGCTACTGCTGCTGCTTCATACTGCTGCTGCTGCTGCTGCTTCATACTGCTACTGCTGCTGCTTCATACTGCTACTGCTGCTGCTTCATACGGCTACTGCTGCTACTACTGCTGCTGCTGCTTCATTACTTTGCCATCTCTCTTCACTTGCATCTCTTTTACTGAAACACTGAACAGCTACAACAACATTCTACTGCTGTGGCTTAGATACAGAATTATTACTGTTATTTTCTAAGGACGCTGCTGCTGCTGCTGCTACTGCTGCTGCCGCGGCTTGATACAGGACTATTGCTGTTATTATCTGAGGTTACTGCTGCTGCCGCTGCTGCTACTGCTACTGCTGCAACCCACTCTCTCAGAAGCTTATCCTGCTTCTAATGGATGCAGCCCGGCTGAGTATGCCGCGCTGCGCTGGACTCGTACCTATGCTCCCAGGGTCGCTTCTGCGGTCATGCTTCATCTCTACTTAATCTACTTAATCTTCTGATCTATCAGATGCAGCTGGCCGAGTAGCTGCGCTGAGCTGTCAATCGGACTCCTAATCAAAGGCATCCATACC